GTTCTGTTTTCACTTGTGCCACTGGGAAATCAATGAGAATCAATATTCGCTTTTCACTGAGTGCTTCTCTGCCCAATGACTGCATCAAACTTGGCATTGGTCAGCTTTTTCAGAACAACCAGGGCACGTTCTGGGAACAACCTGAAAGAGGTAATAACATGAAATTAAATGTGGGATAAGAAACTTAAATTACAGGGAAAAAGTGGCACTGCAGGTGAGGGAAGAGCTGGTCTGGGAGAAGAATCTGTGAACATACAGACTGAGACTAAGGCTTAAACCGTGTATTATTTCCAAAGAATACATAGCCCTCATCAATCTCTGTCTAGTATAACTGCAATCCCACCCATGTCCTTTTATGACAGTTCTAGGGCTAGGTATCTACTGGGCAGTTTTGGGGTTCCAATATTGCTGCAGGATCCAAGAAGGTTCAATGTTGAACAGAGATAGGTGTGTATTGAGTGTTTTATGCTCTGAAAAGCAGCAGGCCTATGGAAGGATGAGATGTTAAAACTGAGTTTCCTCTCCTAGGATTTCTTCTCTTACGAGTCATGTCTCTTTGTGTCCCTCTGCTCCAAATTAAGACAAAAAAAGCAAAGTTATGCTAAGGGCTTTGACAGCATTAGGTTTGACTTGGCTATGCTTCTGCAGACTTGTACTGTCAGCATGCAACTCTTGGAGATGCAAAAAGACTTAAAAGCTTTTTCCCACTGTCTGGTGTCGGGTTTTGCAAACAAGGTATTACCAATTGTTTCATGAGATACTGTAGAAGTTAACTGAAAACTTAGCTGTTCTGATGTGAATTCCAGATTTGGAACCTGAGCTCTGATGAAAACACCTCCTCAGCAGAGCAGCTACACTGGATATTAAAGACCTGTGAGAGGACTAATCTTGCTTTACGTGGCAGAGAGAAGCAGTAGAGCCCTTTTAAAGCAACTTTCCCAGCCTCTGTGACCTCAATCTTTAGCGCTGACATGAAGAAACAAACACTAATAAGCAGCAGGTCCTCAGCTCTGTTTGGAACTTCTCCGAGGCTGCTGTTTCAGAGAAAGTGGTGTTTACAGGCAAAAGGGAAATAGCGATCTGTGAAGAAAAAGTGTTCTGTTCTCCCTCTCCCTCCCTGTCAGCCTGTAGACCAGTCGAGTTCTCTACTGAGAACAGTTAGCTGTGCAAGTGGATCGTAATGACCTATGGGAGGGTTCAAGAAAATCTTTCTGTGGATGACATCTGCTGTTGTCATTAGAAAGAGCCACTGCTATTTTATTATCTTGTTATGTGTTCTTCTCATACTAAAATATTTCAGATGGGTGGTTGTTTAAAAAATAATGCTCTCTTGCAGACAGCTACGCATTATCTAGTTACTCTAGGCATATTGATGTCAAATCTGGACCAATAAACAACTGAGTATAGTGATGTCAAACACTGAAGGTAATATAAAATAAATGAAACTGGGTTGAATGTGAACTTCTGCTGTCCAGCTGTCATTCCAGGGTTTCTCTATGCTGCCAAACCATATCTTTCAATACCATGAGTGCACAATGCAGTTCCTCATAAAATGAAAGTCTCGAATCAGATGTTACAAGTTTGATCCTTGTATGCTCAGGTAGTTAGCACTGATATGTTTTTCCCTCCTACCCGCCCCCCCCCCTTTTTTTTTTCTTTTGCCACTTACATTTCAGAAAGTAAAGCAATGCTTAGATGCGATGGAACAAAAACCATTTTCTGGTTGGTCAGTATTCCTTCCATCAGGGCCTCTACAACTTCTTCAATCTCCAAAATCTTTCCAAGCCTACACAGGAAAGCACACATGTAAGAGCTACGGTGGTAAAACAGGGGTGGTACTAGCTGATGTAGGATGCTTCACATATGCACAAACTCAGGTAATTCACATGCAGCCATTATGCAGGTTAAATGACACTGCGGATTTTCTTTAGCCAATGCTATACACCAATTTATTTCTGGTTTTATATGGTCAGTTGGAATATAAGGCCTAAAGCTGGGGGTAGTATGTACTGCCTTGATGCGAAGAAGGAAGGACAGGAAGTGTCCTGCGCTTGGGTCACAACAACCCCATGCAACGCTACAGGCTGGGGGAGGAGTGGCTGGAGAGCTGCCTGGTGGAAAAGGACCTGGGGGTGCTGGTTGACAGCCGGCTGAATGTGAGCCAGCAGTGTGCCCAGGTGGCCAAGAAGGCCAACAGCATCCTGGGTTGCATCAGGAATAGTGTGACCAGCAGGATCAGGGAGGTGATGGTGCCCCTGTACTCGGCACTGGTGAGGCCGCACCTCGAGTGCTGTGTTCAGTTTTGGGCCCCTCCCTACAAGAAGGACGTTGAGGTGCTGGAGCGTGTCCAGAGAAGGGCAACGAAGCTGGTGAAGGGTCTGGAGCACAAGTCTTA